GTGAGCCATTTTGTACTCTATAAGCAAGTTAATGCCAGCCCAATTAGGTACTGTTCAAGAGTCCGCGAAGGCTGTTGAGGTGAAAGAATTAGCGATTGTATGATACATTCTTTTGGGACACTTCATAGTTGCGGCTTTTGTTGTTGGAATATCTAGATATTTTTTATGAATAAACATGATTAATAAACAGTTTGAATTACTTGATAAATATATTAGGTTGATTCATTTGATGCACGTTTTCTACATCTCAACTTTGAACTATAAGATAGATTTTTGCGGGAAGACCTTTCTGTATGTAATAAAAACCAAGAGAAACGTTCATTGTTTATAAATCAACCCAATATCATAACTAGAATAATTACTAAAGATTTATTTATGTTTTTCATGGTAAAGAGAGGATAATAATGCACCAGCACAAATGGAAATTTAGAAATTTTTTGAGATACGTGCAATAGCGAAAGACTGGTTCGATTTTGTGGCGTAAGCAGTTTTTTTCATTCTTATCACTTGGAGGCAACATTGTCATAATTTTGAACAGCCTATCATTTGTGTACTAATGGTTACGCTTACTTTATCCATTTTGATATGATCGGCAGAAATTAACTCGTAAATATTGATCAAAACACAATTTTAATAGGAGAAGTTCGATATCCCGCTAAAAATTGACTAAGCGTGAGATTCTCCTATGTCCACAGAATACGGTCGTTGTAAAGAAGTTTGCAATCACGTAGACTCATTGTGACATATAAATTCAGCACAATTGGTAGGTTTATCATTTTGAAATAGGATTTTTTTACATGAGCAAATAAATCGTATAATTAAGGTTGAGCATAGTCGTATTTTTAAAATAAGAAAAAATCAGGAAGCAAATCACACTAATTTACAGACCCCATAATGCACTGACATTTCAATTCGGAGAGGGGCTCGGGAATGCGATGCGAGTATGTGCTCATCAAGTTAGAACTTGTGCACAACATCATTTGGAATGTATTGCTGCTCCAAATTAGAAGGAGAACAAGTTCAAGCATGTTAACAAAGTTTGCATAGTGTCGCCCAGTTTCCTAGAATAAATGATGTCACTCGTGTTATGTATTTGCTTTTGTGCATATTTGCTCCTGAATTGATCGATACTGTACAGGCTACGCACAAAGAACAGTTCTGTCCTAAAAGAAAGAGAGAAAAGATTCCATTGCTTAAACCGAACGTTGTTAGCACGATTTTCGAAAAATCGGTAATAGCTCTCAAAGCAGTTGTCTTAAAATGCAAAACGGTCACCATTATAATAAAAGAAAAAATTGTACGTGTTACTTTTCCATTCCGTTTCGTTCTTCCCCTAAACGGAGAACGAGTTGATCTCTGAGCCTTCCCCGGAAGTCTCGTTAAGGAAGGAATTAGAACCAAGCAAAAAATTGAAATTCAATAAACTCGCGTTTACTTCTTTTTGATCTCGAAGTTTCATTACTTCACCTATAGCTATATGACTTGGGAGATGCAGTGCCTAATTTTTGGCGAACTTTCTCAGAATCACTGCAGAAGTTTCGTTCCTTTGCATTTGTCTCTGCATCTTGGGTTCTCTAGTAAGCCAGCAAGGTGCCATTAGAAAGCCTTAAATCATGCTTCGTATAATGCGAACGAACTTCGGCGTAGACTAATATAAGAGGAATTCGTAAAGAATGCATTCTTTTATCTAAGTGGATCCGCTCCCGCACCAAATGCGCCCTTTTTTCTGCTCGAAGGAAGCAAATTCAACGCTTTTGACATTAACGGCAAATATATAACTGCAATTTGCTCTCTTAATTGTAAAAATAAACCATTTCTTTGGACTCATATCGTCTACCTATGACTTGAACGACTATTACGCGGCACGTCTGCGGCAGTGAACGCGATCAACAAGTCAGAAATTTGCTTGTCTTGAATTTACATGTTCCATCACATGAAATCACAAGAACGACAAATTTAAACTTGTCGAGCATGCTAGCTTTACAGCCAATAAACTGTCATTCGACCCCTTCCTGGAATTAATGGCATAATGTTTGTTTTAGGTTTTTTTTTTGCTAAATACTATCAATTTTTGAATCTTTGAACTTTCTTATTGTAGCAGCTCGATTCTGCATTCAATAACAGATAGATGAATAGATAAAAGCCTTACTTGTTGATACAGCCAGTTCTCTTGCTGTGCTTGCAGAAATCATCAAAACAGCACGTTCAACCAATGCCAAAATAGGCTTCTTAGCAGATGTTTCCAATGTTTTGTAAGTGAATGAACAATCAAACAGGGTACTTTCCGCCATTATCTCATAAGTAAAATTCTCTCCGCTTTGAAATTTTGCCACCTGAGTCAAAGGTGTCGCCTCCATTTCTAAGCGTGGGTCCCGCAGTCTCGCTGTTCTCCGCCCTCCAATTCGTCATTGCTCTTGGCGCGGACCTGTTTACAATACCATCTCTTCGATGGCGCGGATGCCACCGGAACCGAACTTCATCTCCGGCCAGGATATCGTCAAAGTGCAACGTGCTTTCCATTAGTAGTTTGCGCTAGGTCTCACTTTTATGTGCACTTGCGTTATTCATAACGCTACGCAAACACCGGAGTCTTTCCGTCATCCACGATTTCCTTTTTTAATGTCGGCTAAGGTGTTGGTGTTCGCTGTGTGGGGTGTCTAGATTCGTTTTGTGTGGCGTTTGATGGCTCACGATACGTCATTCAAGTTTTACGTCTACATAGAAGTTGTATGCTAGTCGTGATTGAGACGATGTTTTTCTGAAACTTTCTCAGAATAATGGTCCATTAACTATCACAGTCATTACATCCACGACCTAGTGAAGCTATCTCGTCCCAGTGAAGCTTGTTTTTTGTTTTTTCGCCGTTGTCTTCTTGTTTCGCAATATCACGCGATGCGTAACCCTGCAGTTGTTTTGATTGTTATCGGTCGTGAGGGGTCTTCTATTGATCGTTGCATTTGTAGGTAGACAGGGGACAAACTTTTGTGACTGACACGAATGTTATATGGTTGCTAATTTGATACCAAACGCTTTTATATACTACGAAAACAGGTTTCGATAGTGTAATTGCGCACGCGTGCATGGTGTCTCACTATTTTGTTCAAATCTTGAGTCGTCTCTTCTATACACTATCAAGCTTAGCCTGAAGTGTGGTTCAAATATTTACTGTCTATAAATTCTTATCTTGAACGTATCATGTGAGTCACTCTCTTTTTTTTTTTACAAAAGCACTATAATCGCCTTATACGATCGATTTCACCTTTAGTGCATTGTGACAGAAATTGCTATACGAGATAGGACTAGACATTTTTTTAGAGTGTCATTCAAATTAATGACTTTTGTGCAGGTTACCTGTGTTTGGCGTTTGCGGGCGATAAATTACCATTGAAATTTCGGTCACTTTCCCTTTTTTTGCCCTGTTGTTCGTACTCCGTGTCTTTCGCGTCACAATATAATCCTATCGATTTATCTGTTGTGATCCTAATAAGACTAGAAATTTTCTTAAGCACTGAGTAAGTCAAGCATTATGATAAGCCCGTCTTCTTCATGAGTTCTTTTTCAATACGTGCAATGACTTCACTATCGATTGATATATCCTTTGTGTCACTAGGTATTATCACACTTTTTATTCTTGCAAAGTGCCTCCTTAGGCAATGACACGTCACAATTGTGAGTTTAACTTGCGAAATGCTTTGCTGTCTAATATTGGCATGTAATGTCAACAGATTTGCCTTGCTTACATCAATTTTTTTGAATTTTAAACTTATGCCTTGTACTCTTATTCAATAGCCGCAATCAAATGTTGATACTTCTTTTTCACATGAATTTGAAATTAAAATTTCACTCGGAAGGATGTCATCCTGGGGATTCGAATTCTCGTGTGATTCATGTGGTACGTGTAAAGTGAATTGGCGCTGATTCATTGTACAGTGATGAAATCAGTGTCGACAGATGGTGGTATGTCAAAGCTTTTAATGTTCCTCAAATCGGCCTCACTCGCTCAGGCTTCATATTGGTAGGGTGGCGTAGGGATGCGCACTCACTTTCCACGGTAGCTTTTTATTGTTGCTTCTTTCTATTGTAGATGCACTGTATCTTCGAGTCATTCGTAGCTTAATATGTGAGCCTGCACACAAAGCGTTTCAACGGACGGCACCCTTAGCATTGACTTCTCGATCAAATCTTTTCTAGCGTAACAAAGTGTAGAAGTGTATACTACTGACTAATTAATATCCTTTCAAATTGAAATAGGCAAAGAAACAAGGCGAAGTCGCTGAAATAAGCAGGTTCCAATCTTCTAAGTTCGTCAAATAGCGCGTATGGTGTGCAATACGCATATTAAGTTACAAATGACTCGAGCATGTGTGTAAATCAATTTGTAACTCAAAGGGAAGGAAGGTTGGTCGAAGTGGCCTTTTGAAATGAGGTGGATACTGCCTTGTAGAGCTTGGAACGCTGATTCCAAATCTACCTTTGCTATCTGCTGTGGGCTTCTGAGCGACGAGTTATGAAGGTTTTTGTGAGTAAAAATCTGAATGCAAAAATAGGGTAAAATCAGTCGTAACCTTTTCCCAATGTTCAAATGAGGCAGCAGCGAATTGGTATACTTGAACCAAGAATATTTGTTGCACCGAGTGACCCGACAAATGTTACGACTGATTTTAGCCTGCTCTTGCATTAAGATTCTTACTCACAAAAACCTTCATAACTCGTCCCCCAGAAGCCCGCAGCAGATAGCAAAGGTAGATTTGGAATCAGCGTTCCAAGCTCTACAAGGCAGTATACATCCCATTTCAAAAGGCCACTTCGACCAACCTTCCTTTCCTTGTCAGTATGTGGACCTGCACAGTGCGCAACTCACGTTTAAGCAACGCCGTAGTTGGTTCACTCAATCCGCTTCACTATTGGTCCAATGAACTGACCAACAGCGAAGTGAACCAAGCGGACATCCGCTTCGCCATTGGTCATTTCACGGATTTGACCAATAGAAATGAATCGAGCGGATCAACTGTGGCCTGTACTTCAGGGCACACATCATACCTGATCCACTTCATCTACTTCGCTATCAGTCAGTCCACTCATTTAAGCAGTAGCGAAGTGGATGAAATGAATCAAATTCGGCGTGTGCCATTACTGGTATCTCGCTAGTAGAGCCCATGGTAACAAAGTGTTTTGTTGTGCTGCTATCTGATATACAAGTAAGCCAAAACAGAGAAGAATACACGAAAAGTGCTCTGGATGGAAGCTTCTATCAAACAAGCGTTTAGTCCCGTGCGTGGTGTGCAGCAAGCATACTGGGTTTCGAATTATTCGACTGCAGATTATCTCAAATTGGCTTGAAATTTGGTTGATTCTCCAACGCGTTGAGCTCGACTGGGGTACAGGGGATCTTTATTAAGTCCCTTCTGATGCTAACCTCATTCCGTTGATTAGCATGCTGGATAGATCTCCAGACAGAAGTTTGTTAACTTTGTGTTTTGGCTTACTCATCATACATCCCCTTACGCTACCATCAAAACGAATATCATTTCGTTGTCATTCTTTGCAATGGCAAAATCACATGCATCGACTTGAATTGAATTGTTATGCACTGTCAACAAAATGCTGGTACAGCCTCATCATAAAGTCGATGTTTTCGTTTTCCTTCCACATGACTCATTTCGCAAACTCCTTTTGCATCGATTTCTCTTTTTATCGCTGATGCATGCTCCATTGTATATACAGACCCTTTGTCCATTAACGAATTTTTAGAGCGTTGAAGAGTAGGGCTGTACCGTCGATTTGCAGAAATGAGGCCTCCTCCATTTCTGTTCTGTTCATTTGTCACTTTCGTCCTTGTCGTGACGACTGCTTCAGCCCGTCGAGGTAAGTTCTTTCCGTTTCGCGTTTAAATGAAATTGTACTTTCCTTTCTACTGACTGTTATTGAGTTGCAAAAGTGTACTAGAAGTTTCGTTATGGGAATTTTGATTTTTTACTGAATACGCATGCTTGTTTACTTCTTGAAGCTGTCAATCCCTAGAGCAGGCATAGCAGTCATAAGCGATTGAAATCAATTTGCTCATAGACGTAGGGTTCTGTCTCGGTAGCGTGCCTTTTTCGTTGAAATTATAGGGACATTGATCATAAATGGGCAATGTAAATGGAGTGCTTTTAGACTGGTCTGGTTATAGCGTTCCTTTTCCATTCTGTGGACATCGATCTCTTTTGAAATATGGCTGCTGCTTGGCTAGATAAATAAAAGGCAGCCGTGGTTTTGCAGCGGTGAATACACGTTTCGCAATCTGTTTCATATTGGGACTCACAGCTAAGCTCCCCATAGATAAGGGGCTGAGATGGTGCCGGACTCTCCACTCGTCTTCGCAGTAAGCAGGTTTTTTATCAGTAGTCCACTTTGCACTTTGTGCATTGTTATCAACTGTAGCGATCAACAGTCAAAATGGGGAGTGATAGGAGAGTAATGAAGTGCTCACGATCGCAAGCATATGAGCGGAATGGGTTGTCATCCAAGACAGTTATATTTGTGATATATGGTAGGTATTCTCAAGAAGCTCAGCACACAATACATAATAACAGAGTTGCACAATCGATTATCGCTGTTTCTTTTTGAATCACGCGCCACCACCGATTACTGAAGGTTATACTTATCGGCTAACATGAATTTGGAAGTAAATGTTTCTATTATTTCACTTCTCAAGATGTCTCATCGACTTCCCTTTGTTCGTTTGGATGCGAGAGCTCGGTAGTGCATTCGCCAATTTGCTCAGGCGTAGTGAACTCCATCATCATGCAAACAGTCGTATTTGCACTCGGATTTTGACTTGCAAATTCAAATTTCGCAATGACTTAGCCTATAATTGTCCGATAAATCATGGCAGTAGCGCGCAAGTGTTCTTTCGGGTTTAAAATCAGCTCGGTCAGCGATATGAACCGGATAGGTTAATGTATTAATCTGTGTCCTTTTTTCTTACTAGGTCTCTTTAGAAAAGGTCGTGTTTTTTTTACATCAAGTTTGCATGTAATTGCCATTAGTGAGCTTAAATCGTGTGAGCTTATCTTAGTAACATAAATGACGCAGAACACAGGATGAGATGATGTGTTCAGGTTCGCCACATCGACAGTATTCTACTCAAATTAAGGGTTGGTTTGTGTGTAACACGAAATAAGTTGGTTTAATTTTTAGCTGAACATTGGAGACTTGCCGCCGGAAGTGGGAGCGGATTGCTATCGGGTACTCAGCGCAGCTTGGGTTTGTTTGATACAAAAATGTGATTCGATTTGGCTTGCCTGTACTGTCTGTGTACTACAGCATATCTGCTCCCACTTTGACTGCTTTGCACTTCTTCACTTCATAATGTATTCCAAGTCTGCGACATCACTGCCGTTAGCTGCACTTTTCTCTTCTAATAACACAGCTAACATGCTTTACTGTAATACGTTTGCACGTCCTTGCTATTTTCACCTTTTAAACCTAAGATTTTGTGGTTTATGTAAATAAAAGGTCCCCGCAAAATCTGTACATGCCAAGATTTTTTACTCAGTTTTATACATTATTTTGCTGACTGATATTAGTTTCTCGATGATGCTTATATTTCATCTCTTGCACCTTTCAGTCAAGAGCTTTTCAAACCAATTTTGAGATCAGAGAGATTGGTTATAGCAGTCTCTATTGATTGCCAATGATAAAAAATGGAAAGATTATTCTTTCTACAGCATGTTGCCAGTCATTTCTTTGTACGCTAGTGTGTATGTGCCGTCTTGTCTTTGTTCGTTCTTTAGTTTCATTGAGTAGACCCAAACATGATAGTGTAACCTGTTTCTTAGTTGGGAAAAGTGCTGTTCCTGTAGTCGATGCGTCCAGGGTGTATAAAAACTCTAACCTACCATCAGCTAAGAAACAGGGTTATGCCTGGTGTTTTTGTTTGGTGGCATTTATCAAGGTGGCAACTATGACCTGTCAGCTGTTGGTTTGTGTAGTTTTTGTTTGGAGTAAACTAGTGTTCTTGCAGCATGTGTTGGGCCCGACACATTCGCGTGTAATGATGGTCGATGTATCCCGAAATCGTGGCAGTGCGATGGAGACATAGATTGCAAAGGTGAAGAAGATGAAAAGAACTGCACTAGTGAGTTTTTATCTCCAAACTTTTCAAGTAGTAGACGTCATCATAATTTCGTTGTTGTTCGAGAGACTGTGCCTGCCGCCACCTGTTAGTGGGAGTTGCGTGAGATCACGTAGTTGCCGCTCAATGTTTGCTCGCTGACGACAAACTGAGCTTTTGCTGTCGCAGATAGTTTTTGGTTGGAAGAACCGAAAATATTGCTTCAATCATAGTTGGGGTTTTGCTTGGGAGTTGACAGCAATTGCGTCAAAGTTAAATTTGTGGACAAATATCACATGTCAGACTATCACGAATACGTTTATTTTTTCTTACAACGAACATCTCGCTTGTAGATGTGAGAGGTTTGTCGTGAGAAATAGTTTGTCTTCCCCGGATGCATTGTATATGGAGGTTTCTACTTTGTTTTTATTATAATTATTGTGCGACTCAGTAAAGGAAGGTGTGGTAGCTGCACCTTGCAAAGCAGCAACGTTATTGCTGCCGCCTTAAATACCTAAAAATCACCATTATATTTCTCAGTTCAAATTAACTGATCAACATCGTGTCAACAAGCTTTCAAACTTGTGTGTGACCCAGGGCCGATAGTGTGGGCTATCGATATTCATTATCTCGCCCAAACATATAGTCTTAACATTACTGGCATTTAATAGTGTGGCCGGAACAGCAGATGTTTTCAATGCAGGTGCAAGTAGATGGAAAAATAACACGTCTGAGAAGGCTATTTCCTGCAGACTCGCCACTTGGTCGTTTTTTGTATAAGTTCATTAGATGCTGAAGGCTTGCTGAAAGATGCCCGCACCACAGATAGGGCGCATTGTACAGGGTGTCCGTAAAGTATGTATACACTGTTTGATCGTTAATATCTCTTTTCCCAAGAAGTGTTTTGCCTTGCTTTAGGTACCATTTTGTAGAGCTGGTTTTAGCTTAGATATAGATTATAGAGCGAATCATCCAACTCTCTTCATTAATGCAGGATTACGGTGGAAACTTCAAAAAGGTTTTTAAGTCATGCAAGGCCACATTTTGCCTCAGAAAGGAACAAAACAGCCTGAAAACTTTTACACTAGGCTAATTAGAGTTGCTGATTCTAACTGTAAAGTTCCCAACTTATTATGATGCTTCATTGAAGAGCTATGCCAGGTAAGAGGTAGCGGCCATTTTTTCAATGTTCTTAAAAAGTGCGGTTACACCGTTTAGAAAACTTCACAATCTTGTGAATAGTTGAGTATTGAACTCAGCATCCGTAAAAACCCTATTACACAAGTTTTCCCATTTTTTCTTTGGAAAATTTTGGAACGGCAGCTTTTTCCACATTGACACCATATGTTTCAAGTTTTTACCGTAATCCTACAGTAATGAAGAGAGGTGGGCGATTCGCTCCATACCGTAAATTTAAGTTGAAGCCAACTCTACAAAACGGTACCTGAAGCAAGGCAAAAGACTTCTTGGGAAAGGAGATATTAACAATCAAAGAGTGTATACATACTTTACGGACAGCCTGTATGTCAAGATTTCTCAACAAGACGAGGCTAGTGTTAAAGAGATTGCAAGGAAAATATTCACCAATCATGCTTCGCGAAATTCTAAACTTGGTGCATCACACGTCAAGCGTCATGTCGGGATTCTCTGTATAATGTGATTATGTATGAAATCTTCCTCAAATTTTCAGCTGATCTTGAAGCATTCAGCGTTTTCAACTGTGTTGTTTTAGCTACGTGTGGACCGGAAGAATTCCATTGCTCCAAGAATCAGCCAGAACCAGCTTTCAAATCTACCCACCAGACCTGCATACCGAAGAAATGGGTTTGTGATGGAGAGTTTGATTGTGAGGATAGAAGCGACGAAAAGAATTGCCCTGGTAAGTTCCCAATCATGCGTTTTATAGAATCCTTTATGAATTAGTAGTGACATACTGCAGAGGTGACATGTACGGAGAACCAGTTCACTTGCTCTGAATTCGATGGCCAGTTCAAACTTTGTATCCCCAAGTCTTGGCAGTGTGATGGCCAGGTATGATTTGGTTTTCTTACTTATTATTCCCAGTAATTTATTTATCATACGATTACACTTATTATCTCCATTTCCGTTAAGATGGGTTCTTGTTCATATGACACTGTTATGTAACTGTTTCAGAAAGACTGTGCGTCTGGTGCGGATGAGGAGAACTGCGAAAAGCGCAAGTGTGAAGAGTCCGATTTCCAGTGAGTTCATATGTACTATGTAAATGTGGTCGCAACATGGATATTCTCATGTCACTTAAAGTCATGAAAGTGTGGTGAACATAGGTACTCTCAAATAAGCATGTGTTTGAGACATGGGCAAACATGAACCATGAGAGCTGGAGCCCGTACGTTCGGTAGACGTGTTCGTACCCATCCTCCCCCCTCAAAGATGGGATTTACCGGTCGTTTTAGTGCATAGCAGATTATGCTGACAGGTCACAGTGACTCCTGTAGAGTAATGTACATAAATACGCGCAATCTGTGCCATTTATCTGCTCAAGGGGGACAACCTATGAGCGGTTTATATCACCATCTTGATCACACGAGCGAGCTCGTGCGTGGGATCCGTCGAACGACAATCTCTAAACAATAAGCATTGTGTCGAACCGTCATTTAAGTACTTGCTGATTTTTCGCTTGGGACCGTTGGGACCAACATGAACTGGCCAAAAAAGCTGCAAAATTGTATTTTAACTTCATCTGATCTTCTCTGCGAAAGAATGCTTATAGGAACGTGTTGGTGATCCGCGCGCGCTTTATATCAACTTGTCATGGTCTTTGGGGTTACTCATTGCTAGCATCTCTTTTTGGCGCAGCGCTGTCTACGCTAATCCCTGGTTACAGTAAAGGACGCACAACTACCGAAATGTTGTTTATGTATATCTTTTTTTACTATAAACCCTAAAAGTGTGAAAGTAGAGTGGGAACATGAACTTGTAATCAACGTTGGAATTGAGAATTGTGATACATCGTCTTACATCGCCTTTACGCCGTGACGCTGTTGCCAAATTTACTCTAGCTGGATATTTTCTTATGTGAATTCTTGGTCGGAGAAACTACAGTAATCGTTGATGTGATGTTCGTGTTTACCATAATATACAATGTTTGCAGATGTGCAAATGGCATCTGCATCTTCAAAAACTGGCAATGTGACGGAGAAGACGATTGTGGAGATCAGTCGGATGAAAAGAACTGTAATCAAACAGCGCAGCAAATATGCGACTCCAGGCACATGTTTAAGGTATTTGTTTATCATATGAGTTTACAGATGAAATGAGTGAAAGTTTACTCGCTTCTGCATCAAGTTAGGAAAGAAACCTCTAAGGCTTGTGGATTGTATCAGGTTTTTTTTGCTGACTCGGTTTGCTTATCCAAAAAGGGCAGCTTGGAAGTCAGTAGGGAAAGGAGCGCAAAGATTTCTTTGTGTGTGAAAACTAGCACTTTAAGTTCGCGGGCTTCTCTGTTACAAATTGGGGCTAAGTAAAAACGCCTTCAGGAGTGGGTTGCGTTATTGTGTCTTTACTGTATGACCTGTTTACTTCAGTGCCTCACTAGCGATGGTTGCATATCCAAAGATTGGGTATGTGACGGCGAAGCCGACTGCTTCGACCATTCAGACGAACGAAACTGTTCGCAAACACCACATGCATGCGCACATCCCGACACGGTATTTTGTATCATCACGGATTCTTTTTACTGTGAAATACCGGTTTTCAGGAGTTCCCATGTGCCTCAGGACGTTACTGCATCAACAAACTGTGGTACTGCGACGGCGAAGAGGACTGTCCGGACGGCAGTGATGAGCGAAACTGTGATTCCGCAAGAGAATGTGTCAAAGGAGAACGAAAATGTCCCAGCAGTAACCTCTGTATCTCTGAAAGCCAATGGTATTTGTCATTATTTTTGTTTGTCATAATTCACGCGAGCTGTTTTGTCTTAGGTGTAACGGAGTGGAGGATTGCCCAGATGGAGCTGATGAGCAACATTGTCCAACACCTACAAATGGAACAGGTGGGTTTTTTGTGGCAATTGGAAACTCAAATTTTATTTTCGTTCATTTTTGACTGAAAAGTAGAAGGGATCGATACGTGTGTCTAATGTCCGATGTCTATGCCGGCATGAATTGAGTTTGAATTTCAGTGGAAGCATGCGATCCCGTTACACAGTACACATGCCCTACGAACCCTCCTGTATGTGTCAGATATAAGGATCTTTGTGTGAAGCGTGGCCATAATGATTGTGGAGATGACATCACATGCGCAAAGAATACAAGTAGGTTTCGTAGGAACTTGCCTTTCCAGATTTTCTTAAAATTTTGTTTGTAGCGCTTTGCGCGGAAAAGAGCGATTACTGCGATTGTCACAAGTCCTATGCGAATAATGCCCACATATGTCATTGTAGAGCTGGATTCCGAGTGGTCAACGGAAAGTGTGAAGGTATAACTATATTATTCTCGTGCGAACATCTATTTATGAGTTTGTTTTTGAAGATATCAATGAATGTGAACAGCCTGGTATATGCGACCACATCTGCGAAAACACTCCTGGCAGTTACGTATGCCGATGTCATCACAACTATAAGCTTAGCAGAAGTCACAATTCTTCTGTTCCCAATAGATGCCGAGCGATGGGTGGCGATCCGCTTCTTTTGCTTAGCAACAGGTGAAAAGTTTGATTTGTTGGTTTGTGTGCACTCAGCGGCATTTTTGATTTTTAGGGCAACTATACGTCAGTTTGATCTGGTCACAAATGTACATATCCCACTTATTCAAAGCCCAGGATCTGCTGTTGCCATGGATTTCCATCACGACAATGGGGTACTGCTCTAATTTTAATTTGATATGTCCGTAGATTATCTGATATGTTTTTGTTCTAGACCTTGGTATGGTCAGACATTGCGCTACAGAAGATCCTGATGTGTAAGATTGGTAACGATTCTGTTCATCATCACTTGGCAGTCAGGGAGAAGGTCGATTGTTGTAAATCTGCATCAGTATATCATAAATATAATCGTTTTTAGTGTGCCGAAGGCGAGCAGAGCGTTCTTATCGATTCGGATGTGCACACCCCTGATGGCTTGGCTGTGGACTGGATTCACAACCTGCTCTTTTGGACAGATGGTGGCTTAGACCAGGTACTAAGTAGCTAATGCAACAACTTGAACCTATACGAGTTTAGAGTTTCTCTTTTCTAGGTTAATGTAATGGATCTGAAAACTCGCCGCAAACGCACTTTGTTCCATGATGGTCTAGAGGAACCTCGTGCAATTGCAGTGGATCCTGAAATGGGTCTGATCTTCTGGACAGATTGGGGCAAGGAAGCTCGTATTGAGCGTGCTGGCATGGACGGACAGCACAGAACGGTTTGTAGTTTTCTTGACCTTTTTTCTGAATCATATCTAACCCTTTGATATATTCGCTCTGTCTCGAACGAATCAAGCTCCTTATATTTTCCTCTTTTTATTCTTTTCGCTTGAGCTGGTCGGACTAATTGGTCTCGGAAGATTTTTTCTTTTACTGAAAACTTTTACCTAACAACTTCATTTGAATTTGTAAGTGACTGGTTCTCATTAGTTCGAATTTGAGGTCATCGTGAAAGGCGAACGCGTTAAATGGCCCAATGGTCTTGCTCTCGACTACATTGACAAACGTGTGTACTGGGCGGACGCAAAAGTGAAATCTATCTTCTCTTGTGATTATTGGGGACATGACGTGAAGGTAATCACTTTTCTTAGTCGCTTTATCACTTTTCCCTCTTGCATGTTTCTTATCTACCATTTTTCAAACGGGTGGGACAAGTTCTTGACCGATCATTACTTATAGTTTACATGACTACTATTCAGATCATCCTACATTCGCATCAGTATTTGCGACATCCGTTTTCTATTGCTGTATTTGAAGATCGCATCTATTATACTGATTGGGAACACGACGGTGTCATAACCATCAATAAGGTATGTGCATGTTATAAGCATAAATCTTATAGCTCATCTTGTAATTTGTTCTTTTAAGTTTACTGGAGGAGAAATGCGAACCGTTATGCAGAAAGTGTCAACTCCAATGACTGTGAGGATCTATCATAAGTTGGCACAGCCACATATGGAGAACAAGGTTAGGTTTTTTGGAATTACTTGCTTATTTAATGATGTTTCTCTTCATGTAAAATGTTTTCCCTGCAATTCTGCATATAAAAAAAGTTTTAGTGTCGTGATTCTGGTTGCGATCAAATGTGCCTGCCACGAGCTGTCTATCGTAAAACGGAACGATCTCTTGAAACTGCTTGGCACGATCGCCCATATGCTTGCATGTGTGAAGGTAACACTCCCGCGGATCTCATTGAATGTGCTGGTAAGAGTGAAATACTGAGAAACCAGTTCAAACACTTCTCCCCCTTGTTTTTTAGTGGACATCGCTACTGGTGGTAGTGGAAGAGGCTTCTCACTCAGCACCATGCTGTTCTTCTTGATGCTGTCTATATTCGGCGTTATGGTTCGTCGCACCATCATTCCTCACAGGTTTTATCACAAAGTCCTACTTCAGGCTGTTGTGTACTACCGCAAACGTAATTCTTCTGGTGCATTCACAGCGCTCAACTTCGATAATCCAATTTACCGACGAACGACAGAGCCTGATATGGACGATCCATTCCGCGACCCTTTCGGGTATAAATTTCAATTAAAAATCTTACATTTGTTGCAAACTTGTGGTTTGCAGTGATGGTAATGCATCGCGTGGTGGGAACGCTCGACTTGTGATGGCTGACCCAGAAGACAATGTCCACAATTCAATGGTGAGTTGCCCTCTGGCATCTTCGTTTTGAAGTTGGCGCCGTGTCAAATTACTGTTGTCATACTCGATTTTCTCCGCCTCAGTGCAAAATATTTTAGCTCAAAATATTATTGAATTTGATGAAAGATCCCGAGACTTGGCAGATAGACAGGAATCATTTTTTGGGTTGCATGGAAAATTGGGATGCAAAAGTCAACAATCAGTTCGTTGTAGACGAGTTTCTCAGAAATAATCCTTTGAGTTCTATTTTTTTGGTTTGAGGAGGAGCTTTTGTCTCAAAACAAATATAGAAACATTAAAATTCATACAAAATTAGCTTATGTTTTTTCTTTGGTTGCTTACTTCTGCAACTCTACTCGAAACGAAAATGAATTACTGTTTTGGAAGCTTGAATCTCCTCCTTGCTCTGAAGCAGTTGTAACGTTCTGAACAACATCTCTCAATTTTTAAAAATCACTATCCGAGAACGAGAAAGCTCAATCCTCAGTGCAGATTGCGATTTTTGTGCTTGTTCGGTGTTCATCATGAATGTGTACTGCATGTGGAAGTACCGGCGCATGACGTATCATGAACGACTGCCAGGCTGCCGTTCTTATGATCGAAATGATTGTGAACATCACTCAAGTTGTGACGTTCTGAACAACATCTCTCAAGAAGTTTTTGCAAAATATGCGGTTTAGTGTCCTGCAAGTTAATAATCGTTGTATCATGTTCACAAACATTATATACAAATGCGTCCATAGACGGAGTCTATACATTTCGAAAGTTTTTTTGTCAAAAAACTATATTATCCTAACTATCGTTGAAGTCATGTCATGTAACATGCGTATGACTTTATTATTTGCCATCTTGCAGATCGAGCCAATGGATCGTCCTTTGACCACGTGAGCCTTTTCTTACGGAAAAGACGGCTTGCTGGTGGGCAGCGACTGAACTACCTGGTTGTCGTTTTGTATCCTAACGTTCTCACACGATTTTGTTTGAACTTCTATTCTGTCTAACCTTTCATCATGTTGTGTTTCATCGTTGTAATATCATTTCATTTTGGTACGGTTATATGTTTGACGCGCTTGGCGCGTTTGCTATGCGTTTGTGCTGCTTGAAATTCGCTAGAGAGCTTTGGCGAACGGGGTGTTCTTCGAGTGTGTCTGCGTATACGTTGTAAATTGTCGAGTATTGCAATGTCTCTCGTTCTCCTGTGATAGTATGTCGCGGTTCGTCCCGCACCGCTCTGCGGTTGGTCAGCTTCGTCATCACGCTGTGCGATGCGGGTACTCACTTTTATTCACTATCCTACCCCAGTTTGTTCTGTTCACCAAGGCCTTCGTATTAGATTCGCCGAGACAATTGTCTATCTATCGGGGATGCAGGTATCTTTTTGGTGACGTTTGTAAAAAAATATGCGTTCACCATGGTACTTGTGTCTCAGTACCCTTTTCTTTACTATGGTTCCAGTCATCTTTTTGACAGTGTTCTTCGAGTAAGCTCTTCCTTTGAGATGAAGAACGGCCACTTTATGTTTCCATATTCATATTTGGAATTTGTTAGTCGAGCTTCTAGAAGTTAGTTCAATTGCTCACAAAAAGTGCATGTTCCTTGTAGTTTTCTTGTACAGTTAAACCTGTAATAAAACTTCTTTCCCACTCTATCGTTGGTTTCTTAGTGAAAGTTATTTACAATTTTGTTGCTGAAAACGCAACAACGATTTCTGGAGTCAGATTTCGCATAGAAGAACGTATAATCGATTCGTTGGCCGCATGGACTGGACATCGTGTGGTGCACCGCCGAGAGGTAAAACGCTTGTCTAGTACAAATTCGCTTGTACAAATCGTGCTCTCTCAATATTTAGCCGCGCCGCGATGGTCCGCAGCGTTTGAGCAGTCTTTGCGGTCAACGGATCGACAATAGATCTGACATCCTGATTTCTGTGGCTACGGTATTTCTAAATTCAGGGGAAATTTGAATAGGGCATGATATGGATGTATACGTCATTCGTTAGGCAGCGCTTCTTATGGGATAGAGGACGATATGTCGCTGTCGGAGGTCGCGGGCGGACATCTGCAACGAACCGTACCTCCACACAAAATCCGTGCTGCAGCTCATGCCGGCTCACTGCGTGGGGGAGACCTTCATTCTTTCAACAATTTTAGAAAAGAAGACGGCGAAATTTCACTTGAAACTCCTACGGGTTTGAAATTGCGGATTTCGCTAGAAACTCGCCTGTGGGGAGCGGTAAATCAACGTGTTGTTCACGAAATTGTTATTCATTCCACGCAGGGATTTTTTTCGGGGAATCACGGTAGACATACGATATGGGGTAGACATCGCAGATCTCACCGAAATTTCCACAGAGGACTTATTTGACACGCTCATCACGAATATCTCCTTTTTACATACGAAAACTTCTCCCTGTAAATTTAGTATAGATGTACGGTAGAGGTCAAAATCACATTGTCTAAGACTTTGCCTAGGGGGTTTATTTAGCACGCTAAACATGCTCTCAAATTAACGCAAGGTAGCTCCATTTCCGTGAGCTGCGATATAGGTTGGGTTGGTAGAAGTTTTAACTTGCTCAAAACTTTGCCAGAAAGGTTTCCGAACATGCTAGCTACGAATATTGCTTGCTTGCTGCGATAACGCCTTTTTATGGAGTCATGATAGCGGCGTATAAATGAACACCTCCGCTATTCCAGGCCAGTCTAAATCCCAAAAATCCACAAAAAGGATCTATTATGTGAAATGGGCGCGATCGTGATTGAGGGGAAGTAGTTGTGTATTAATCTCCCGTTCGGGTAGATGTTCCCGTACAGGTCGTAATCCAATCAGACGCGAACGTCTAAGGCTCATGATGCGCGAACGTGGGTGCCTGACCGTGCAAAAGCCTGGTCAGGCAGAATCGGATAGGTCTGCAAGCCTGGACACCTACCCGATCTCGTTAGTGCATAAATTGTGTGAAAAAAGCGCGTTTCTTTAACTAGGTGCGCCGAAATAGCAAATCGAATGATGCAATCACTAGTCATCATCATTGAGTAAGATTTGTAGTTGTTATGTTGCAAGAGATTTGTATGATTTAAAATTTGATTTAATGTAATTATAAAATTTACAAAGTTTCAAAGCCCGATCTCCCCATTCCGGGCTTTGGATCTCTTGTAAATCTCAAGGTCAACTCAAATCAAATGCCAAAACAGACAAATCCCAACATAATAATTATCAACTCTTATTTTGAATCGCTCAATGCTGCTTCACAAAACAAGATCGGGCAGGTGTTTAGGTATTGTAGACCTATATTCTGCCTAATCTGGCTCTTGCACGGTCAGGTGCCCCGCTTGCGTATCATAGGCTTTGAGCGCCCGCGTCTGGCTGACTACGAGTTGTACGGGAGCACTTAACCGAACGGGAGATTGATACATACCGCTTCAGATGACTCCGATGACTAGATTTGCCTGAAACTCCGTGCAGGGGGCACCCTTCTACCCCCTGCACGGAGTTTCAGGCAAATCTACGACTTTGACACCTTAACCATATACCCTCTGATTCAACGGGATTGGCGGCTGAAAGGGGAGTGCTCGCGCCCGCGACGCAGTCTTGATCTCCCTGGCAAGCCTGCTCTATGATCATTCTCTAGGTTTGACTGGGCCTCAAAGCCCCCCCCCCCCCCCGCCATCCGACCGCCAATCCCGTCGAATCAAAGGGTACCTACCGTGACAAAAGATCCCAAAACGCAAGAAGAGCGATACGCGTTGTAATTGGGCGCAAATTCAACAAGGCGACCTCTCATACAATCTCAAGGCAATACATAGAAAAAAGGCAATGTAGTGTTATTCTCGCTGAAATGTTGAACGACAAAGGTATGTATCAAATGAGTCTGGAAATTTCATGACATTCGCAGTGTTTGTTTGCCAGGCCAACACAGTTTTGAGCTCTTATGGCCAAGTGAGTCGACTTGGAGCAGAAACTTCTCTTGAGTTTCCGGATATATTACCGTTCACAGGAAGATTTTACAAATGTAGTCCGAATGCGGTGTCATATGATGTACTCTGCACTTTGAACAAGTTATTTGTACTTTAATACTATTAAGTTTGCGCGCTTTGAAAAGTTAGCCACTCAATAGCAAGACGCATGTTAGATGGCCGTCTCTCTTTACAAAATCAACACCGAGTGTTTCTCTCAACTACCTAGGAAGACACTTTGTATACAAGCATGAATTGCATCTTAGGCCTAAGGCATACCTCTCGCGATTCCGCGAAATCGCCACATCCTCGCGACTTGGCGATTTGCCAGATGTCTAGAGATTGAACATGCGAAGCTCTCAGATGCATGGGTGCGTAGATTCCGTAAATTGTAACAAACATAGCAAGTCTGGCCCAAGCAAAGTGCGTTTACGACCAGCTATGGAGAGTCGTTGCAGTGCCAAATTGCGCGGCGACTAAAATCGCGTGAGGTATGCCTTAGGTGCCAGACTAAGCGATTCCTGCTTCTGCAGGACGCGGCGCAATTACTGTCATTTGATGTCATTTTGTAGGGAAAGCAAGTTGGCAAGCGCGATTTCGCTACAACAACACACTTTCCCCTGGTAAGGCCTTTGTATCATTCTCTCACTCTGCTAGGCTTTTTTATCATCTCTTTAAAACTACTGGCTGCAGACACAGACGCATCGCAGACGCCACTTCGACTTCCGTCTAACATGATGCTAAACGACATCAGCTTACTTGGTTGCGCCCTGTTAGTCCTGCTAAAACAGGTTGGTCTGGTGCCTACCTTATCCATACATATCGTCCCTTCCACAGTTGCTGCTACCCTTGGTCTGCGTCTGTGACCTGGCAGGTCTGGCCAAAATGTTGGCAACATGTACACTTCGGGCTGAGGCTGGTAGCCAAATTGTTCTGCCAACATGTTGTTGCGTTGCAAACACATTGTTGCACGTTACCAACTGTTAGCCATAGTATGTGCAGGAGGAGGCAACCGTTAAAGGGACGAATTGAAGTCCCGAAGTTTGTAAGTGCGCTTGCTAAATCGTTTGTTCGTTATGAACGCCACCGTGAACCGATTGAGCTAAACCTCACTATGTTCACGACTCTGGCGAAGAACATATGCTCGAGTCATTTGTAACTTAATATGCGTATTGCACACCATACGCGCTATTTGACGAACTTAGAAGATTGGAACCTGCTTATTTCAGCGACTTCGCCTTGTTTGCCTATTTTAATTTGAAAGGATATTAATTAGTCAGTAGTATACACTTCTACACTTTGTTACGCTAGAAAAGATTTGATCGAGAAGTTAATGCTAAGGGTGCCGCCGTTGAAACGCTTTGTGTTCAGGCTCACATATTAAGCTGCGAATGACTCGACGACAGGCTACTTTCCGCCTCGTTTCGCTGGGCTCTTCTATCGTCTATTGATTTGTTTATGTCTTTCCAAGAAATGGAAGTTCATCATGTTTTATCAATTATTTTCCTGTAGTCATGTGAACCGGATGTTAAAGCTCATTTTGGCCTCAGGATCACGAGTATTCGGTGAATCGAGACGAAGTTGTCTCGGGGTAAGTCATCCTTAACATGGAGAAGGGGGGAGGGGGGAGGAGTTCGCTGCAGGTAATTATACTGGCGACCAACGCAGCACCTACCTCAACTTCAATAGACTTTCTCGGACTGGACCGGGGAAGCCCGCTAGTATCACATAAATGCAATATGAATGGTCAATCAAATTTACAAAACTGTTCGAAATGTATTAATCCGATGGATATGGAGGTCGTTTATGTGATGAAATGACTTTCAAACTTTGCTTGCGGATTTTTTGTCATTGTAACGGATAACAGTGCATATCAAAGTTGACCTAACTACGTTCTTTGCCGTAGGTGATCTTCCACACACAAAGCACAACATCGTTCTTTTGAAGAACACTTCTTATCCATGCGTACATCTGGTTCTTCTTGGCACAGGAAGTTCGTAACAAATGAAGTTGATTTGCTTTCACTTGACTAGTGCCTTTCGGTAATCCACATACATCAAAATTTTGTGAAGAATACACGGCACAAGTTGATATAAGCAGCGTGTGAGAAAGTGGATTGATCGAGTTGATACGGAAATAAACAGAAGTCCGCTCGCAAGACTCTTGAAGCCTACCTTATTTACAACACAATCCATTAATGAATCGGTAGGACGAACGTCTTGCTATCACTCGTGAGTTTTACAATACATATATGGGCCAAGTCACTTAAAATGTCATTGACTATGCACCTGCAACAATGATAAGCGGTATTCTCACACCGCAGAAGTCTAACGGAAAAGAGTGAGTGTCGCCCGAGGGAACGCTCTCTTTAAACTTGTGAATTTGCTTGCATAATTCCTATAACACATCTCTTCGGATATAGTCTGCGAGTTTGATAGTTTAATTCGGGCTCTGACGACAGCGAACTGGCCGAAACGTGAACCAATAAAAAGTTTTTAACAATCTCGGCTGTAGGTCAATACGAAATGACACTTAATCAGCGAATTTCTAGGAGCTTTTCATATGGATATAGGATGTGATTTTGCATGTGCTTATCTCTCGCCTAAGTGGAATAGTGCAGGATAAAGGGTCGATTTGACAAATGAGCTCGGAGTATCATTTCGTTAATTCACTGGTGGTTCTTTTAGGGTAATAGCGGTTTAAGCTGCTCTTTGCCTCCTGTTTAGTTCTTTTTCACACCTCTGTTCATATAACGATCAGATATACAAAGGGAAGGATTCCATGATCGAAGGACTATCCAGCTCAATATTGATATCTTCATATAGGCCTCCACGTATTTTTTCTTTTAATCAATCTACCATCCTATCATCTTCCTTCTTTCGTTAATTCCTATAGCCTTGTCTTTAGATCATTGTTCCTGTTTGAAAAATCCCGAAACAAAGAATCAAAAGATCTATTAAGTTCTGAATCAGCTCGTTCCACTCTAGCAATTTCAGCGCTTAGTGGAAGCCGCATGAACATCTATAAATAGTAGAACAGTTATCAGGTCGTAAAGTTTTGTTTAACTTCGCAAGCTCAGTACTTGCTGTGCTGCTGAAAGCTTCAAGTGACGGTATCATCCGAAGAGCAGGTCACATTGAGCAGTTTGATGTAGACAATGCAAGAATTAATAACGCATACCAGCGTTTTGAAAGATGCTAGATCAAGATTTGGGATTTTGCTTCTGCATGTTTTACGATTTTTGACAGGGAAAACTACAAAAAACGACGGTGTGACGAATTGTTAATGTCGAAGACAAACTATTTTCATAACAAAATCAACTTTAGGTATGGCTGAGTAAGAATGAGGAAAAAACAAAACAGACGCACATGGCAAAAAAGTTGTGCATTTGGTGGAATGAAGCTTTGGTGTATTTTGAGCCAACGACGGGTGACCAACGCCATCAGTCAGCTTCAGTTAACCAAGGAGCAGTTTAGAGCTCGCGTAAAGTTGTCAGCCTCCTGTCTCAAAGTTTGTGCGACATGACAGTTTATACATCGCGCAATGACCATACCAATCGGGGAGGAGGTCAGGTAAGGCGGCAAAACTCGGCGAACGTCGAACAGAAAGAGAATAGTTATCAGCTGGATGTAATCTTTGCACCCGAAATGTGGCGACGCAGCCATTGTCCCCCAATATTGTTGTCACAAGCAAAGCTCACGAATGAATGTTAACTTTGTGCTGGAGCTGCACGCAACGTGAAGAGTGTACATGCTTCTGTTGTCGAGCTTTTTACAGCGTATACCATTACCAAATATCTCTCTAACGAGCATAAAGGACCGAGCATCGCGACGACTGGAAATCGAGGCGATTGATTTCGTCGCCGCGATTTCCAGTCGTCGCGATTTGCTGGAAGTAGCGACGAAAACGCGGCTACCAAATCGCTGGTTGCCCGTTCATGGGCATACTTCTGCGGTGTGTCTCTAAATTACTGTGCTACTTCAAGAATAGCATATCATGATGCAGCTTCCTAGCCACTGGAGTATCGCAAAACCAGTGCGATGATTTCAGAAAGAAAGAAAATCTTAAGTTGGGATTTGCCTTCTAATATCCTACGTCAAGAACTGGATGTCCGAGCTGATCTTCTTTCAGTGGTGACTCTCGCATTATACTTGAAAAAATTGTCATTTTGTTACGATGTGAGCCCTTTCAGACAGTGCAGAATTCCAGAGAGTTACAAAATTTAGTTCTTTACTTTTACTATACTTATGTAAACTCATGATTGCTCGGGCAATAATGAGTTTCGAGTCAATTCATAAGTGAAGAATGTGTCCAGTTGTTCAATTCATAAGTGAAGAATGTGTCCAGTTGCTGCAACTGTTTGAATCTTTCCTACGAACAGCACTTACTCGCTCGTTTCTGATTCTACTTAATAATCGCGAGAACATATCTTTCTGGCGAAGAACGTGACAGTTGCTCAACTCCAGGTAGTTTATGTGTCCTATTCGCAAAGAACTGAATGTTCTTTGTGAATAAAACACATACATGAAACCTTCGCCGATTAGCGCATATCTTCAGTATAAGTCCGTGTCAATGACGTGCTCCCTTGTCCGTGTTAATTACGCAACCGCAGCGCGTGGGCACTGCTCTGCGATTGATTGTCGAATCCAAATGCTCAAGAGGTATGCTCGCCAGAGGTTCTAATCGGAAAGGGCTCACAATGGCGACACAGTGTAACCTGAGAAATAGGAACATGAAACTGTTTGATCTCGTGGGCCTTATCTCGCTGAAGTGTCATACTAGGGCTTACAGAGTAGCTCTCTGTGAAGCTGGCAGTGGGAAACACCTATCTACTACTCAGTCGTCCATTTTTTTTCGTCTACAATTTGCAACAGCCCACAATCATAGTCGTTTAACCATGATAAGGACTCTATTAACAGATTACTGTCAAAATCCAGTAGCAGCTCAAGAATACGAGACACTCTTCACTTACTAAAAACTGTCCAGCCAATGACTACAGTTCTTTCAAATATTGAGTTGGAATGGGGTAAATAATGCATTGATGTAACTAACTTATAACTTCTTCGTTGACACCAAGTGCGATTAGGCAGAAAGGTGAAAGATGCTGACTGCAACGCCGCAGACTCTTGAAAATTATCGTCTTTTCAAAACATAAACCAAACTTCAGGAGTTTTTGCCAGGTTACAGAATTTAAGTGCACTAAGTTGGAAGAAGCTCCTCAAGGAAGATAATCAATCTACCTCTAGCTTTGTGGCTGACAGATTCACACTGTATTATGGGTCGTAAAAGGCACTTTTGGCCTACCGTAATCAAAATTGGGCGTGATGGCATACATTCCGCAGTTAGAGTTGTTTTCGGATGCGGGTATAAGACAGAAGCTGTATCCGAGTATGGGCATAAGACAGAAATTTTTTTGTAAGGAATGGTTTGACAAGCATTTCTGCTTCATCTGAACCCATGAGAAGCCAGAGTCCAACATAATGTAAAGAAGCTTAGCATGAGCCCAGCTCATTATTTTCTTAAGACATAATGGTCCTGTCGCAGTATCTTTTCACTCTGAATCTTCCAAATGCAAACATAGTCGAGACTGATTTTTACCCGTAAACGGCTGAATAGACAACAAAAACGAAGAAAACTTCCAAGCTTTAGAACATGGTAGCCACTAGGTGAGTCAGCAGAACGCAATGCAGGCATGTTTCAAAATCATGTTCTTCAAGCCTTGTATGATGATGTGATGATGCGATATGTTACATAAAGGCAGCGTAAGTTTGAGGTTTGAAGGCGACGGATCTCGATATCTAAGGAATTAACACAGTCCCGTTCCAGGGCATTTTCCATTTATGCACTACATGTGCAACCAATTGTCGCATGTTGGGCATTGGATCCAATGTACATCTCCCGCTCCCTCGACCGGCTCCATTCTGAGGCATGCGGCGCATATATCTCTAGCATTGACATCATAGTTTGGAAACACTTGAAGAGGTCCACGTTTCGCCTTTCCAATCTTGCGTAGATGCGATCTCTAAAAAAATTCATTGAGTTGTAAACGAGTACTGTAATCACTAAGATATGAAAAAAGAATTTGGAGAGCGGCAAATCACTTGTCAGATGCCGGAGTGCGAAATGTACCACTTTTGATTGTGAGTCTTACTAAATCTAATAGTTAGTGAATATTAAATTTACCTTATGTAACTTGCGAATGGGCGTAAATGCTTGGAGACGTCCAACTGTAGGCACTTCAGGCCTTCGAACAAGAGGTGCACTAAATTCAACTATAGAGCATGTTAAAAGTTATATAGGATCAATAAACCTGGAAACGCGTTCCATTTTGACCGCTGCGATATAGAGCAATGAATCTTGAGCAATGAGCAAGATGACAATGAGTTTCGTTATGGTAATTCATTGATTTATTGCTTCGTGCCATGAGTTTATCTTGTCACCGTATTGCAATTCATCACGCAATCTCTTATAAAGCACGTTGCAGTTCCGCCTACAAGGCGTTTGCCTATACCTATTACTATACGTACATATGTGTCAAAAATACTTACTATCAGTATGACAAAACTCATCCAGTGGCGCGCATTCATCACGTTTTCAAGGAAGTTTCCGAACAGTACAATTTTGGTCAAAGTCAGGTATTTAGCCTAAAGCCGTTGTCTGCCTGAAGCGGTCATTTGAGCTCACCAGCGACCAGATATTTGCGGCAGCCGATAGCTCATCAGAGGATTGGCGTCTCCGTTTCCATCCGCGCAGCCGTTTCGCGGCAAGGATAGATAGGGAACAACAACTTTTGTAAGATTATAGGTTATTCTTGTCATATGTATCCAGAAAAAAGAGAGTTATGGGGAAAAATCAATGCAGCTCTGCCCAGCAATCAGTGCAGCAAATCAGCCCAGCACAAAACATGAAGATAGGAAAATTGGAGCATATAACTCCGTCAGTTAAAAATTGCACATTACCTTCAAAGCGGATACACCTAATTGTTCTCTTCGGGTATAACTGCCGCGATCCCATATCCTAATAACGTGATACTGCATAGTGCAGATGGGAAAAGTATGATCGATAAAGAATACTATAATGCACTATTTATCGCTAGAAGTTTTAGATAAAAAAAACTTTCAAATACCTACAAGGACTTTTTGAAACAGGAAAAACGACATGAAGACATTTTCGATCAACAAAAATTGAACGGTTGCGAAAAAGGCTGTTGCTCACCGGCTTCATCTTCATTCCGATAGCAGCACGTTGCTTTCCTGCTATAGTCAGTGTCAGTGAAGGGCTTCTTCCCGATCAGCACAAAATAACGCTAGAGCTTCGCTCCGCGTTCGCGGGCGTACCGCTTGAGCATTCAAATCTGTCGTATCGATCGGAGATCAATGCCCAATGCTCACGCGCTGCGGATGCGTAACTGCTACGAAAAAAGGAGCACATGGTTAACATCGACTGCACCTGAGCGCACATGACCAGTACATGTATCACACACACATGAAAACTTGCTAAACACTTTCAATCTTTTATGATAGGAAGACTGTGCGAAAAAAAAACGTGTTATAGATGGAAGTTATACGATGAACTGAAACTTACCCTACAGGACTTTTCGAGTGCTTTGAGATCTTTGGCAAATCCTGGATCTTGCATATAAGATTACAACTTCCATAACAATTTGTATCAAACTAGAGCCTTTCATTCTGTGCATCTGAAACGAACTCAAGACATCAAAACTGCACTTTGCAGCTAGGTTCTAGTGCACTCTCAACTTACAAGGGAAGTTCGCCGAATCGAAATGGCCGATTGATACGTGGTATACACCCGAACGCGGGGCTCGGGAAGTTAGTATCAAATGTGCGCCCATTAGCTGCGACGCGTTATTGTGAAGCAAGTTATGACCCTCTGAAGTTTTTGGCGTATGTATGTCTAGAGAACGACAAGTGCTTCGAATGTGGTCGTGTAGTGTAGTGGTTAGCCTTTCGGACTCAAAGGTGACCAGTGAGGGTTTGAGTCCTGTTGCTGTCCACACGTTTTGCGTTCTTCTCAAACTTCATTTTTCACCTGTTTTATGCATTACTGACGTAAAAAATGATACATACGGGTGGTTAAACTCTACAAATTATACATCCTGCCGTGTCATTCTCACAAGGTAGCCCATTAGCAAGAATCAATAGTACGACCTGATACAACTTGGAGATTGTCACGTAAATACTGCGTGCAATCGAAGAAAGTATGTGGGAGTGAGGATTTGGCAAATTCAAAAGTCAATTGAAAAGCCGTCGCTAAAAAGTCGTTGCTATGTTCTACGAAAATCTTACATATGAAGCATTGGTCGAATTTTCGTGAGAAAAATCATCCCGTAACTCGTATGTGTCACATTTTTTACCTCAATAATACATAAAACGGTAAAAAATGATTTTTGAGAAGAACGCAAAACATGTGGACAGTAACAGGATCCGAACCCTCACCGGTCACCTGTGAGTCCGAGACGCTAACCACTACACCACACTACCACATTCTAAGCATTTGCGCGTTCTCTAGACATGCACACGCCAAAAACTTCAGAGGGCCATAACTTGCTTCACAATAACGCGTCGCAGCTAATGGGCGCACATTTGATACTAATGTTCCGAGCCCCGCGTCCGGGTATATACCACGTCTCAATCGGCCATTTCGATTCGGCGAACTTCCCTTGTTAGTAAGGAAAACAATAACTATTTAGACTATCAAACTTGTGCGCATCTATTGTTGTTTCGTACACTGGTCCAACATCCATTTGCTATGAGGTGGAAACATAGATACATAATAAATGCCTCAACCCATTTCTTATTCCAGATAAGCACCTGAGGCATAGCTATGCTTAACTTTATAAATCGAGAGTATTCAAACTCACTTGCTCAGAGGCTGCTTTAGCTGAGCAAAGAAAGAAGGCTACAAATTGTCTCTTCTGGACATTTATAGTAAAGAAGGGCACCTCAACTAAAATGAAAGGACTTAGGAAATGTCCTAAGGGTCGTTACTCATGATACCCTCAAAAGACATCTCTTTGCTAAAACTTTACTAAGAATTCTGGGGCAGAAAAAACTGCGGAGCAAAAACCGTAGGCTCATACTTTGTAGATCTTCATAAAGGTTATAGTAGTTCACAGTTGTTACAGACAACAACGTAAAAGTAAAGCACAGTATTCAAATATTGTTGCAGAAGTTATGTTCATTTATTGAGCAACTGAACAACTTATCGAACAGGACCCTTATAGTTAAGACTTGTGCGAGCATCGGCTCACATGAAAACAGCGCGAGCTGGGGAGTTTGGGAGAGTTTTTAAAATCCTAAACAAGAAAACAGCCCTAAAACATGAGAAATAATGATACAAATTCATAGAAAAGAAGTCCAACCGCAGTGATTTGGTCGCGTTGCTCGTTTGAAGTTAGCGACGTGATATCGTTGAGATTCGAGCAAATCGCGACGATTTCGACGGAGGAAGTATGCCAGGGGAAAAACGTCAGAGATTAGTCGCGCCGGATAACTGTCTCAACCGAATGGCAAAACGATCAGCATGCACTGATATTGTGACGTTGCCTCGTCAGGAGAATCGAGAGGCGATGATATCGAGTGATGTATGCCCGGCCCTTAAAAGTTGTATAAATTGTTTTTGTTTGTATTTAACGGAGAGACCATACCACTACGTTGTATAACTGTTTATTAGATAATAGCGGAGCAGCCGCTGACTATCAACAGTGAATATGCTCAGACATTTTTTGGGGCCACCCGCGCGCTCATGGCAGGCTGGGCGAAAACCCGTTCCTGGCCTTGCCCTGCCATGGTAGCGCGGGCCAGCAACTGCTGCAGCGGACGCAGCGACCCTCCCGACTGGAAAGGCGGATGGGCCTGTGATATAGTGCTGCATACAGCGACCTGCGCATCCAGCCACGCGGGTCAGCTGGCAATGGATGATCGCTGGTCGCGCGAACAGGCTGCTACGACTGCAATGACGGCCGCTATTATGTGTGCGGGCTGATGAATAAACGGCCGCAGCTGGGGCGTTTCAAATCCATTGAATACACCTTTCAGCAGTTGCGATTCTCGTTTATCTTATTATTATTGAACTTTACTGCATTGTTGAACACACAGTTTACAGTCAACCATTTATTGAATGCTTTGGAAAAGAATGCGATATGAAAATTGAGGAATTACTAATAAAGGCACAAAGCAAGCTTTTTTCACGCATAACTACTACGCCAAAAACCTAGTACAACACATTCATTAACAAGAATACATGGAAAGATGAAAGGCACACAATCAATAGATCACAATACAATCACATGGCAGGAACAATCAAGCTCAAATCAGCATAGAAAGAAAATCCTTGCTCCTCGAGACATCAGTCAGTCAGCTAGATCGGCTTGTGATGTAGCATTTTCCATCGACTGTAACACTCTCTTCTGACGCTGAAAGTATATAAATGAATGAGTCGAAAACAATGTAAAAATTGGAAAGATTTCGAAACCCTACAATAAGCTGAAATGGCAAAATCAAAGCGCATTAAATTGATAACGGCAACTAAAAGCAAAACAGTACTCATATAAGCTCCTGCAAGACGAAGGCGGTCGGTTCAATGCGCAACGCGGCTGCGACATGGCTGCGTCACAGCCGCGTCACAGCCGCGTCACAGCCACGTCGTACCTCGAACCGACCGTCTTCGTCTTGCAGGAGCTTATAATTACACTGCTTGGCTTCCACTTCCCGCGACTTCATCGTAGATATAGGCTCGGATGTATCCCCTAAAACGCAAGCATTATTCAAAAAAACTCCTCAAAATAAACTTTCAACCTACAGAGCTTTTTGTAGCGACCTGTATAGGCAAAGTCGCCATTTCGCCCTTTCCCTGGTCATTTGCTCAAGCTCCTCGTTTCTCTCGGCGTTGTTACTTCCCAGGCCTTGATAAAATCTGCAATAACGGAATTTGAATAAATACTGAGAAAAGCAAACTTACTTTGATCGAACAAGGTCGATCGAATTTCCCTTCCGCAATTCATCATGGCCCAGACTCATAGCGTCTTCTTCAGTCTGTAATCATTAATCATCTTGTATATAAAGCTGAATGTCTGTTTGTCTGTCTGTCTGTATGTCTGTCTGTCTGTCTGTACGTATGTTCCGAATAGAAAATTCCATTTCTGAACCGATCCGGACCAAACTTGGCAAACATATACATCGGGCCCCGGCGGGTGTCATAGGCCACTTTTCGTCGTCGATCGATATCGATTTTATCGATTTTTTGCAAAATTTGAGCTACGGGTCTCGGAGTTGGCACAGGGGGGGGGGGGTAATCAAGCATGCTGATTACGAATATAATAATGACAGGACCGGGCGGAGCCGGGTAAGTCAACTAGTTGGTTAATGAAAAAAATTGTCTTCCTTACCTATGATTGCCTGTTCTATTGCATGTGGCAGGCTTTGCAATTGTTTATCCCTTCCGCTCTTCCCGTTGAGACGCAGGGAGTAGTCCTGGATCTTCCGAGGTGGATCTGTCATCTGAAACAAAGTATCAGTTTCAACTGTAGTACTGAACTTACCAGTTGCAGAACAGAGCGGTAAAGCGAGGTGATTTGTTGGTAGGTACAGTCTCTCGGTCTAGGTATCCAGTCGCTAGCGGCGTTGTTCAGGATGAGCTAAATAAATTGAATTTTGAAAAAACTACTGGACGTGAGTTAACAAACCTCCATGGAAGGAGCTGATTCCCACTACCCAGCATTTGCAGCAATTTGTCGAGACGACCTTCAGAAGAGTCGACTCCGGAAGCGCAGTGTTTGTAACATCCATCGTTCGCCTCGTTTGTGATAGCTGCACACGCGTCAGATCGGCCTGTAAGAAGCAGTATATCCGATGAAATCATCTAATTGATATGATAATTGATATGTACATGAGAAGAATATAGACAAAGCCACAAGCCTCACCTGCAACTGCACTGCCGTGAATCCCAGCCGCATTGCTTCTGCCCCTTCTATCCGTTCAAACCCTTCTAAGCAGAGCCGAGCTCGCGTGGCCATGTCGGAGTTGGTAAATTCCTAAAACCCTATAAGGGAAGTTAAAGTTGTTATACTTCAGAAAGGAGAAAGCGCATACTGCCAGTCCAACTGACCTCATATGCCGCTTAGTTGAAGGTTCTGAGGCGCTTTTGGTCGCGCACTAATGTGGAGGCCACGTCCATCCGTAAGATTCCGTCCTGAATGCAATCGAAAAGCGAACGCGGAACTGTCAAAACTCGTGACGGCTGTTTTCTTCGAAATGGAACTCCCTACGTTTGTATATATTTCGCCTGGGGCAAACCTTCAATGCGTATGTACAACGGCCAAACTTCACGCCTGTAACACATGCGCTGAGGTAGTGGTGGCGATATCGAAGAACAGACTTCGAAAGTGGTCTAGGACGAAAACCATCGGTGGACAGAGAGAGGAGGACTTTCAGTTTTTTCTTGCAAACTCGTTTGAATTCTCAATGTTCTCGTAGTACCCTTCGTAGAGCCTTATGTCTCCGCGGTCCTCATCTTTGCGTGCAATCTCAAAGGAATAGGAAATCATACGCTGATGATGATCTGAAGAATGTTCTTTACTCTACCGTTCTCTGCGCGTGTAAGCTTTGGTGCATTTCGATAATCTTTGCAACAGTGTAAATGAAAATATCGCGTAGTTGCGGGACCATGTTGATCACATGTATTTCAATCCGTTGCATTTTTTTGGCCCTTTTGATAGGCATGCTGAAATTTCCATTAATAGAGGAAAACTAAACGACATCTGATGTACTTGTAGAGATTGCAGTCGATGTTGTTGAATAAGTTGTGTGGTCCATCCATTGTTTCCTCGCACGTGCTGCAGAAGTAGTAGCGACGAGTGTTGTATTCCTCCATACTGCTATCAAGGAACGGTTCCACATCTCTTTCGCACTAAATAATTTCTTCCATATTGTTATACCGGCCTGTAAACTTCAAACCGATAAGAGTGAGCTGCTTGTTCTCGAAATAATAGTCACTAGCAGTTCCAGGTCCTTGATTTCGTTTTTAAGGAGGCCACGACGTCGAACGTATATGACATAATGAAGTATTCGTTCTCTCATACCTGCAGCTAGGAAGCTTCATGCATGCATTTGAAAATCTAGCACGAGTCTCTCCAGAAACCTACTCATTCTTGCACTTTGCTGCTGCGGTGGCTCATTCTCGAAATAATTGCCTTCACCAGCCCAACTTTCTTCCATCTCGACGTAATCGTGTGGCTGAGAGTTCAGAACCGGTGAAGACACGACTTAAATATACAATTGAAAGCATGCTATCAAGCATTCATGTTCTCAACATGTAAATGCAAACCTCTCTCTTCTTCCTGTCAAGCACTTCTATCAGTTCTTGCAGCGTTAAGTCTTGCGGCACGCAATCTATTCCACCGTAGCTGATGGAGTTCTCCCTCAATCGAAGCTGAATACTTCTTTGGCATAGGTGGAAATCTATAGAGCAAAAATAGCAAAAAGCAAAAATACAAAAGTAGTGGAACCTCCGTAGCGTCGCACTCCTACATCATTCACATATTGTGACGCGTGCACTGATGATGAAAAGGCCATTGTAGTTTGTCTGAAGTTGTTGGCGTAGAAAGCTGAAATATGTTGAGATGCACGAGTACTTCTTCAAAGCTAAACTGCTATTGGTACGAATTGATCAGAGCATACTTGCCAGCCATGAAAGTTATGGAAGAATTGAAACAAACAAGTGCAGTATGAGCGGCTCCACAACTTTGGCGAGGAGGAGCGGCGCTAGCGTGCCTTACATTACGGTTGCCCTGTGCTGAGGCATACTTGATCTATCGATCTTTGGGAAGATCACGATACCGTCTCGCCTAAGGGGAGTCGACAATACGTAGAGCGAGATTCCAATTAAGTCGGTAGAGACTACACGCACATTATCTGTAAGACTAGACTGACCAATTGAACCCGAACTCAACTTCGCATTTGATTAAGGTCATCACCTTGATGGATCTCCTCAAGGATAACATAAAACAGAAAGAAACAAACAGTACAAAAATTCCGCTTCGTTTTCCTTAGACGGAATAGTGAACAAAATCTTCAATACGTACTCTCCCCGTAACCCGTCAGTAAGGAAGGAGAACATTAAAAATAGCAAACAAAACGTGAAAATATTGTTGCAAATCATCTCAAAGGATTGAAATGTAATGAAACATGAAAATATAATAATCAAACGTACTTAAATAAAGACTAACAACATCGCAAAAGATAAACTCACATCAAAGTTCAAATCCGAGCTTACAGGGATGGATTTAAAGCTTTTTTGACTTACATGGCGTCCATATAGGTGGTCGCTAGTGAAGAAAGTGAGCGTCCGTATGGGTGGCCACTGCTGAATGAGCCTCAACATGGGTGTACGGGCCGCCGGTAGGGTGGGCTGACAAAGCGCGCGGGTCGCGGCTCCAGCGTATGGGCCGCCACTGGGCCTGGTGCATTTAACACTGGCGTTTAGGCGCCGCGGCTCAGCACCGAAGCCGAGTTGGGCGACCGGGCCGCTGCAACAATTGTCTGAGTGTGGAGCCGCTGACGATAGAGGTAATGTATCGAACCAACACCAGAACTGAGTATTTAGGCCTTTTTATGCCACTATTTTGGGTGTGGATAGCCTGAATGCTCATTTCTGGCAATAATAGTATTATACAGAATCAAGGCAGGGTCAAGCGTGCTGATGCGATCCTGGACCCTGATTTACGACCCCCCCCCCCCTTGAAGGTACCCATCCGTACGACCCCCCCCCTCTCCCCCCTCCCTCCCTCTCCCCCATCTATCCCCCTTACCTCCCCTGTCCACATTTCTTGCGGTAACCTGCATAAACGAATGTTAATCTCAGAAAACACCTGCGTGAGAACTTCAGTGAGGTTTGAGAAGCAGAAATTCTAGGCCAATGGGTGCGCCCAACATCTTTAGCACATATACACACCTTCAATAATGTTTGAGATTCTGCAACTTTACTTTTTGAATTTTCAGGCATACTTCAGGCGAGCAAATCCGATTCCCGTATGCGACACAAATTTTTACACAAAGAACAAAATGACATTCTTGAACTACAAAAGATGTTTTCGTCTAAGAAGCTCAGTTCTTACCTCTTCCACAGTTTTTCCCGCGAAAAAAACCGCTTTAGCGCCGTCCAGAACGACGTCAAAAACATGCATGAGCACGGTAGTTTGAAAATTCGTAACTAGGGCCAGGAAAAGACTGAGAGGCTGCAAAGAACCGGTTCTGTACCATAGTGCCCAGACTATTCACAGAAAAAGTTTCAGTCCTTGAGGAGCAGTGAGCTCGAAAAAATTTAGATCAGGCTCTCGCAAATTTAGATGCGATCCTAAAAAGCAAAAACCGGGATTTTTGAGCTCGAAATTTTGTAACTTACCAGAGAAGTTATGAAACGGCCTGAAATTCTTACGATAAAAACTAGAGGGATGGCCTCGTTTTAAAGCAAGTTTGCAGCTAACAAGCTTCGATAGCTCCGGAGAAATTTAGATCAGGCGCAGATACGACCCCCCTTTTCTCATTTTTTGCTACCATACATAAAATCATAAGAAAATCTGCAGTTCATAGAATAACACCAGATTTCACACAGCAGTAGCAGGGCTTATCTAAAGTACATATAAATTGTAAGGGCCGCATAAATGGCATTACAAAAAGATTTACGATTTATTGATTGTCATTGTTGGTCTACATGTGCGCTTTTGTAGAGTGTACGAGTCTTCAGTGAGCCTTCGGAAGCAGGATGTCTACACCAATCGGTACATCCAACATCTTTATCACACATACAGTGCTGGACATAATTATAAAGCCACTCTAGAAATCGTCGTAATTTTCGTTCTTGTCAATGAATCTGTCTGAAACTTTGCTGTATTGTGCGTATGTCAACCTGTCATGATCCCTCAAAACGACTTCCAGTCTTGTTGAGTTTGAACGGAGAAAAACGAAGAAATTCGAAAAAGCCCTCTTTGAAAGCTGGACAAAATTATAAAGTCACCTAGTTTTTCTATTCACTATCGCATTCGTTGACTCTCAAACCTTTTTGTACAATTACATCCCAGAATATGAAACGTTTGTAACACCTACGGCCTGTCATCCTACTCAAATAGAAGCGATCACTGCATTTTTTGCTTTCAAAAGCACCAAAGGTCAATCTGCTTCAACTCTTCAACTGGTTCGGTCTTATTCATTTCAAATGATAATCATGGAATCTACTGACCCTTCTGGATAGATGAGGTGAAGAGCGCTTTCGTAAACTCTGCGTAATCGCTGATTTTGACAGACAGACTCCAACCTCAACATAGGCTTGAAACGCTTTGAACCACAAAACTCAGTTTGCAATGTTCATTAAGTGCTGGACTGCTGGAGTGCTTGATTTATCACACTGCTTCATGGTGATGCAGCTTTCGCAACAACTTTTAGATTTTCCCAAGTGATATAGTCGCGATTTAGACCTGGAACACTTTATACAAAAATTTTGTGCAAACAGTAGATTAGACAAAATAATGAATCTCACTATTTTCCTCTCTGTTTTATATCTAATCTTACCCAAAAAATGAAACTAGTTAGATCTTGAAGTTCTAAGCGGTCTCCTGTTCCATTTCGTGATCTGAGTTGGCTATCATTGTGCAGCATGCTCCACTCAACATTTAGTGGATGAGAACTGTGGCTAAAATATAATGCTAAAATGAAATTCTTTCCTAACTATGCACACTAGTTTACTGTTGTACGGTCGACATAATGGCTGCATTACAGTATTTTCTGTCGCTTGAAACTCAAGTTTTGTGGTGCAAAAGTGCGTCAACCCTATGGTGAGGTTGGAATCTGTCTGTCAAAATCAGCAATTACGCAGAGTTTACGAAAGCGCTCTTCACCTCATCTATCCAGAAAGGTCAGTAGATTCCATGCTTATCATTTGAAATGAATAAGACCGAACCAGTTGAAGAGTTGAAGCAGATTGACTTTTGGGCTTTTGAAAGCAAAAAATGCAGTGATCGCTTCTATAGGATGACAGGCCGTAGGTGTTACAAATGTTTCATATTTTGGGATGTAATTGTACAAAAAAGTTTGAGAGTCAACGAATGCGATAGTGAATAGAAAAACTAGGTGGCTTTATAGTTTTGTCCAGCTTTCAAAGAGGGCTTTTTCGAATTTTTTCGTTTTTCTCCATTCAAACTCAACAAGACTGGAAGCCGTTTTGAGGGATCATGACAGCTTGACATGCGCACAATACAGCAAAGTTTGAGACAGATTCATTGACAAGAACGAAAATTACGACGATTTCTAGAGTGGCTTTATAATTATGTCCAGCACTGTACATGCCTTTTTTTAGTAGTGAGCTTCTGAAAGTGTTTATTTTTTGGATTTTAGTCATGTCAGCAGGGTTCGATCCCCGTTTGATACAATATAATGCGGGAGAAATAGCGATTCTCATAAAAAAAGAACTAAGTCATAATCTTTCAAAAGTGCAGCAAATGAAGCGAATTTCTACGCTTGCAAATGTTTTCAAATTATTTTTCACTTGTTTCAATTTGATACACTGGTACACGGCATTCCATGAATTTATTGTTAAGAACATGTAATAAAAGGATAAAAGGATAAAGGATTCGGCGTCTTCAATACCCTTTGAGGGCATGCGCCGAACGCACACTCTAACTTCGTAGTCGAAGAGGCAATTGTATGCGTGCGAGCCTATTACAGTGACTTGCGGGGGCCAGCCGTTTCCAAGTCAGTGCTTTTATCCTCCTTTTATCCCCTTACTCTGGTACCAATTTACCAGCCCCGGAGGGTAGAGGGCTTGGTTGGCCCAGGGGCGGGGATCGAATCTATGTCCGATCTGGTCATTGCGGCGCCTCAAACCACTACGCCACTCGTCCCCTAGAACATGTAATAATCACTTGCTTTTTGATTTGCTTTCAATCGTACGGTTTTTATCCAGACTACCCCCTCTTACGACCCCCCCCCTTCACCGTAGGCCCCCTTTACGACCCCCCGTTGCGACAGTCGCACCACACGCTTGACCCTGAATCAAGGATTGCTTACATAGTAGGCGCTGGCAAGTAGAGTATCAGGCACAGTGGAGGGTGACCTAGCGGCTTAAGTGGTCAGTGAACAGTAGCGTTTGTCAGCGACAATCTATCAGACATTGGGTGTAACATACATGCTAGATCTACAATGCTAAATGTTGTAGATTATTTGGATGTCTACAACATTCACTACGAATAGACCAGCGGATCACCTACGAGTCGCTGTTGCGCAATATTATGTATTCGAAGAACATGACAATGAAATTTGAAGCAATCGATTATTATCTACTAACAATAAGTTGCTGTATAAGTTTCGTTCGATTTGCACTTTTGAGACTCAAATCTAATAATTTCTTTCGAAACCAATTTTTCGATAATCTCGGTTTATATATTAAACAACTTTTTGGCTATAAGATGGGTACTAAGCATCACGAATAACGCCATTGGAAGAGAAGCAAAGATATAAAAGTTACAGAGAAACTGCATTTTTGACATGACGATGCTGCTTCTAAGAATTGGCAGTAGTACTTT